CCCCAACACACAGCTGCCCCATCCAGCCCAATACCTGACACAGAAAACTTTGTGTTTGCTTAGTTTTCCCCCAAAAAAGAACAGTTCCAGGTAATTCCATCGCCGCTACATTCCTGTAAGTTTTCACTGATCAGTGCTATTGCAGAGCGGGAGCAGCTGGGTGGCAGGGCCTCTCGCCGACTTCCTGCCTGTGCCAGTCCCCCAAAGTGAGGAGGGAGGGCTGTGCAGGGTCTGAGGGGCTGTGGGACTTGGTGGCTCTGCTCTGGCCACAGCCCAGGAACCACTGACCGGGCAATACCAACTGGGCTAGTATCCTTCCTGCCTTCAGCTGGAAGGCGTGGATCCCTGCCCCCCCCACCCATCTCCAACCCCCCCCCAGCCAAATGGTGAGCCCCTCCGAGAATTCCTTGGCCTCTGCCTGGATTGGCGAGTGTGTGGCTTCTTGTGTGCCAGTCCCTATCCATGGGACAGAGAGCATTTAAGGCAAATCTCCTAGCCAGATAGTCAGGAGGCACAAAGTAGAATCTCCCATCTTCTCTGTCCTGGGTCTGGGGTCAAAGGTGGCTCATCTTTTCCATCCTCCCCCCACCCACCAGGTGCTGGAAGGAATAGCATGGGTGGGGAAAGAAGAACAACTGACCAGCCCATCCATCCCCCTTCAAATGCCACCGCCCCCTTAAAACGGGGGAAGGGCCCTGGGCTCTCAGACACTAGTTGGACTCTAGGACCTGTGTTCCTGGTGGCTGTCCCAAGGGAGAGGGGGAGGAGTCGGGGGTGGGAGCAGAAAAGCCCCCTTCAGGTCACCCCTTGCCCTCCTCCCCTGAGCCAGGGGTGGAGCAGGCAGCCACCCTCCTCACCTGAGCTGGGCGGTGGGAGTGGCCATTTCCTTGGCCAGCCTGCAGCCCTGGGCCCCTGAGGCACCCTCTCTCGTCCAAATCCACCCTTTTCCAGGCCCCAGACCTGCTCAGGTTTAAAGCTCTGTTTTAAACCAAATCAAAGAGCAAACAAGTTCCGTTGGAAAGTTCGAAGATTCCCCGGCAGTTCTCACTAGTTCAGCACTCCCGCAGTGTCCCCCGTTTGGAAGGCCAGGGGGTGTCGAGGAAGCGGAGAGGAGAGAGAATCCACTGCTGTCGCTGCTGTTGTCCCCCAGAGCCCGCTGGCTCCTCCGGAGAAGCTGGAGTGGGGGAGGGGCGCTCAGGTGTCTCCCCCTCCCCTCAAACACATTCCTGGTCCTGCCCACCCCGTTCTGCGGGGTCGGGGGGAGGGCCAGAGGGAGGGGCCTGTCCGCCCCCTGGCTCGCCCAGAGCTGCAGGACTCTCGCGGCAGGATTCTTGTGCTTGTGCCATGTGCCACGGGGGAGAGGGGACCTGGGTCCCTCGCCCCGACCCCTGCACTTTGGTCTTTAAAGCGGGGCATCGTACTGGTCCAGGAACTCCCGAATGGGCCCAGGCAGCTGGGTGACTTTCTCATAGGAGTCCAGATGGCCGTTGACCGTCTTCCGACAGAGATGTTGGAGAGTCGCCACATTGGAGGATAGGGGCCGGCTCAACACCAGAGGGATCTTCTCGCCCCCCGAATAGATGTAATAGGCTCTCCTAGGGGGACTCCCCGGGAGGGGCTGGGCGGGCGGCTGCTCGGGCACGTCGGAGGAGGGGGAGGAGGAGGGTTCAGGCAGGGGCGAGAAGGAGGGGGCGCCGGAGGGCGGCATGTAGTGATGCACCAGTTTCAGCACGCAGTCGAAGCGGGGCACGGGCTGCGTGCTCCGGGGGTCGCTCTGCAGCGAGAAGCTGCCCCCCTCGCACTGGATGCGCAGGTTCTTGGTCCCCGACTGGGTCTTGACGCTGAGCGTGAAGAAGTGGCGCTGGTCCGAACTGTCGCGGATGAGGAAGGTGCCGGCAGGCTCGGCGCTGAGCAGCAGGTTCGCCTCGCCGCCTGTCACGGCGCTCCAGTAGAAGCCGCTCTCCTGCAGCTTGCGCACTGCGTTCACCACCAACTGGTACTCGCTCTTGGAGCTGAAGGTCTTGAGGCGCAGGCTGGTGTCCAGGGGGCGGCTCATCCCGGCGGCGGGAAACTTGCTGTGGGTGACCATGGCGCACGGAGCCAGCGTGGATCTGCGCGGCGGCGGCTGCAGCTGCTCGGCGGCCTCCGCACAGCGGCC